CTCCAGGCGGTCCTGTAAAAACTCACACTTGGATGCTTTGGTCAGTAGGCGGTTCTCACTCAGGATTTTAAAAACTGCTTCGATGTCCTGTAAGTGCTGTGCTCTGTCAGGGCTGTAAATCAGTATGTCGTCCAGATAAACGATGACGCACTTATCTAAAAGTGGGCGGAATGCTTCGTTCATGGTCATTTGGAAAGTGGCGGGGGCGTTGGTCAGCCCAAATGGCATGACAGTGTATTCGAAAGATCCGTAGCGTGTTCGGAATGCGGTTTTAGGACAGTCGGGTGGGTTGACGCGGATTTGGTGGTAGCCTCCCCGGAGGTCAATTTCGAGAAAACCCGGGCTGTGCGCAGTTGGTCGATCAGTTCGTCAGCTCGTGGGATGGGGTAACGAGATTTGATGGTAACCCTGTTCAGTGCTCTGTAGTCTATGCACATGCGAAATCCCCCGTCCTTTTTCGGTGTGAACAGTATTGGTGCGGCGAAGGGCGACGAGCTAGGGCGAATGAATTCTTTCTCGAGCAGGTAATCGAGCTGCTTCCTTAGTTCGTCTAGTTCGGGTTGGGTCAGTCGGAACTGTCGCTGTACTGTTGGTTGTGCCCCCGGTTCCAGTTCTATCCTGTGATCGTGCGGTCGCTGAGGTGGCAGTCCCGTCGGTAAGTCATCCGGGAAAATGTCACTGTATCGTGTTAATAGTGCTGCGAGATCACTCGGTACGTCGGTCAGCAGTTTCTGTAAATCCCCTCCCTTGTCTGCTGCCTCGGCTTCCCGAATGTCAACCGCGTACACGTCAGCTCCGGCCGCTACAGCGCGTTTCATCGTGATCGCATTGACACGCACTGACGAAGACTCAGGCGATCCCCAGCGAGGTAAGGCGATGTTGTTACCGTTCACTCGCACGGTGCAGTCACCCGTCGTCCAGTCGATTTGCGGATTATGTCGTCGCAGCCAATCACGCCCGAGTAAAATGTCGGTTCCGTCGAGGGTCGTTTCTAGCATTTCCTGGCTGAATGTGAAGTTACCCCCACATCGAATCCGAACTCGGTCTACGCGTTCCCGTATTGCCAGTGGCGTGCCGTCTACCAGTCGTGCGTCGATCTCAGGTAAGCATCTGTCCAGTGGCAGTCGCAGTTTTCGTGCCGTAGCAGTGTTAATGAGGCTGTGGCTGGCTCCCCCATCTACGAAGATTTTAACTAAGTCCGTCCCAATTTTCCCACTGAGCAGTATAGGGCTGTCTACCGTGGTACCCTCCTTATTCGGCCGGGTGTGGTCGATTGCGTGAACCGGCACAATCACTCGGTGAGGGTCGGTTGGGTCGGGCGAGCGGCGTGACCTGTCAGTAGAGGGCCCGTCTGCTACTGACTTCCAGCGTTTCCCTGCTGCTTGGTCTGTGTCTGCTGCTCAGCTTCCCCCTTTCCCTTAGCGTTTTCCGGGCATTCGCTCTTGCGATGTCCCGGCCGATTGCACGCAAAGCAGCGCCCTTTGAACGGTGCGGCAGTGGCATTTGCGGCGACGGCGCGTATCGTGGCGCTCTCGTTCGTCCCACGAGGCCGATGTCCCCAGTTGTTGTTTCCGTAGGACCCCGGTCTCGGTCGGCGAAAGAAGTCGAGCTTCTCCGCCATAGCGAGAATTTCCTGAAATTCGGTGACGCCGCGAAGCTGGATTTCCTGAGCGATGTCCTGCTTCAGGCCGCCGATGTAGCGGTCGATGCGCTCGCTCTCATGCATGTAGCCCACCTATTCGCATAGCGCCAGAAATCTGCTCGTGTAGTCCTGGACGGAACCGAGTTGGCGCCAAGTGCGGAGCTTCTGTCGCGCCGCGATCGAAGCCGCAATTGGCTCAAATCGAGCGCGCAGACCTGCGCACCACGCATCCCACGTGCGATACTGGGGCACCTCCACGAAATACGACGGCGCCCAGGGTCCGGTTTGTCCTTCCCGTGTCGGTAGTGTCGCGTAGTCTGTCGGCTTCGTGACGATGACGCGCCACCAGTCCATGGCGGGTCCTCGCAACAGCGACACGGCGTATCGAATCTTCGCCGAGTCCTCCGAGACGTAGTTGGCGTCGAAGAAGACATTCATCGTGAACAACCACGCTTGAACGGTAGGACCACCCTGTTGACTCGGGTCAAAACATGGCGGGCGCTGCGGCTTCAGCGGCCTCGGTGACGGCAGTCCCGAATCGTGGGTTGGTGCCGAAATCGTGACGCGAGGCTGACTTGGGGCCGCATGCGTCGCTCCGGGGTGTGTCGTGCCGTGGTCATCGTCCCCGTCGGGGCGGACGACGCCATCACTGGCCGCGCTCGCGGGTTGCCCCACACTCCCGTGTTGTGATGTCGAGGGTGCAGGTTGAATCGGAGTGCCAGGTGCTTGAGATTGTGCTTGTTGTGCCCTCGTGAGGTCATTTTGCAGCGATGAGCGTTCTGCTGTCAATGCCGCGATTTCCTCGGAACTTTCGCGCAGCTGTCGCAGCAGATCGTTCAAACGCTCCTGCGTGAGGGTGGTGACGTCGATATTCTCAGCCATGACGAAGGGCGTCGGCTCGTCTTAGTCTAGGCGCAGTCGTGGCTGCACGCGTTTACGAGAGAACGCGAGGACAGCGGCTCCTAGGGGCTAAGGTGCGTGAGTCCCTTCGAGTGAAAAAATCAAAAGTTGATTTCCTGGTGTGCGGAGATGCGCGGTCCGAAAGAAAGGGGCTCTGATAACCAAGTGTTACGGGTGCAATGAATCGAAGTAGCGAGAATTGCACTAAGGTGTCAAACGAGTACAAAATGTGAGCGAAGGCATGAGCGAACATTTATACGCGAAACATGCAAAACGGTAACGCGGTGCGTGCGAGCTTGCTAGTGCTACGCTGGAGCGAGGCTCGGGCTAGTTCCGAAGCGTAGGCCGATACGGCCATGCCAGCAGTGCGAGGTTTGGCAAAGCGGTGCGCGCGAAGTCAGCGAAGTCCCGTTAGCAGTAACGGGCGAACAACGGCTGTTGCTGTACGCGATGTAGTCGGCTCCGTAAGGAATGCCGAGAAAATTCCTTACAAACTTTTAGAAAATTAATTCGGATAACGCAAAGCTGACATTGACGCAAACCCTGGGACCGTGATGGGGAAACATGAGGGGTTTGAGTGCTGCACCAATCAACGTTGTAGATGGAAAACTTCCGATGAAGTTTATCCGAATCCACTTAGCCACACCGCCAAGAATTGTACAGGTGGGATGCGAAGCCCCAAAACTTAATCGGACGTGACTTTGTCCCACTTCCTTCACCCTTAGCCCTCCAACAAAACCCTACCCTCCCCATCCCCTTTTCAACCCCCACCAACCCCCCCACATCCAACAGAACCATTTTTCCCGGTTTTCACATACCCACTCATCCACCCACCTCCTCCCTCTGCTCTCTCCTCCCTCCCGCTGCCTTTTTCCTTAGCTTCGGGTCGTAGATTCCTTCCTCTCCCTCCTCACGACTTAGCTTACCCTAATCGCACCTAGGGTTGATTCCTCCACCCACGTCGTCACCATGGTGCGTGTACTTACGCTTCAATAGTCCCAATCTTATTCCATAGACTTCGATTTTCCGCAGTCTACTTAGACGTACTGCCAGAATTGCGTTGAATATTGTTTGAGTTAGCACAACTTGAAAAAAACCAGTGCTGTTGCGGGTTTCGTCTGGTTTGTTGGATGTTTCGTTCTTGCGGGCTGAACTCCTGTTACTCTTGCTGCGTGGCATGTGTGTCGGGACCAAAAGCAAATTAGGGTTTGGCCCACGTCGGCCAACCTCTTCCGCATTCACCTGTGCACGAGGCGCATGTAGTCGATCGTTCCATATTTCCTCGTTGTCGTTAAGACTTGCGTCTAGCTGGCGCATACAGGGCCCTTACTTTCTCTCGTTTCAAATTATGTATCCCGGGTCGTGGGTCAAGGGTCATGGTTAATGGTTCGTGGGTCAAGGGTCAAGGGTCGTGCGTCGTGCGTCTAGCTCGCGCATACAGGGCCCTTACTTTCTTTCGTACTAAATGACTTATTTCTGACATCTGTCGTACAACGTGTTGCCTCGCGTCTCGGAAACACGGCTGTGAACGAACACGTATCTAAAGTGCTGACGTCTCTGTCTCGCTTCCCCTCGTTCCCATATCGTCAATCTTGATTCCTTCTTGCCAATGACCAAAAACTTTCGCACTCGTGCGCTTTCGCCCTCGTGCTTTTGAAAGTGCGGGCTCTCTATCCCTGAAGGGTTCCGCTCTGTCTCCCATGACACACCGCTGTATCCTCCCCCCCGCCCCCACCTTAACCCCGTCTTTAGTCTCCAACTCCACCATACCCCGCCATCCCGTTTTTTTTCTTCCCTCTCTCGCTGAGCCAACATGCCTTCCCGCCATCCGTAGCGGTATCCAGAAAGTTAACAAACCTCCCCCCACGCTCCCCCTCCCGTTCCTAGTCCGCTCCCCCACTTCTCTGCACTCTTTGGCCCCCTCCACTAACCTGCTTCTCATAATGCTGCCGTCCAATCTGCCATCTGAAGCGCGGCAATGCTGCCGATTCACTCTGCCAGCCGAACCGCGAGATCAATCATTTCCTCCTCCCGCCTTCCTTGCGCTCCCCTCCGCTCCCCTTCCGCTCCCCCGCATCCTTCGCCCCTTTTCCCCCTCCGTTTGCCACCCCCTTGGCCCCTTTCCCCTCAACCCTGACAATTTACCTGGCAGCCGAAGCAGAATCACGAGATCAAGGGCCTCTTCCTCACATCTACCCACTCCCTTCTTTTCCTTCCCACCACCCCGCTTCCTCACCTCCTCACCTCCCCTCCCTCCCTACCCCCCCCCCCCCCCCCCCCCCCCTCCTCTTCACACCACTTACGATTCACGCTGGCAGCCGAAGCAGATCTACGACATCAAGGACTTGCTCCTCACGTCTACCTAACCCCCCCTTCCTCACCCCCTCATCCTCCCCCCCCCGTCCCCCCCACCTCCCGCCATTCCTTTCCGTTCATTCTTTCCGATTCACGCGTGCAGCCGAAGCAGATCCACGAGATTAAGGACTTCCTCCTCACTGCGAGGCGGAAGGATGCCCGCTGTAAGTCTTCGGTTGATTCATTTCCTCATCTAATATCTTATGCTTTTCCCAAGTCCCCTCTAGCTTTCCCTCCCTACCTTGTTCACCCACCAGTCACCTTTCTCAAGTGCTCTTTCAGTGATGCTACGTTGGTCAAGTGCAATTTCCTCGCCCCCTCCCCCCCCCCCCCCCCCCCTCCCCTAACGTCACCCACCAGTTGCCTTCAAAATTCGTGGTGCTCTGACTGACTATCCATTCTGTGGCCGTTAAAATTCAATTCCGTGACTGTCAAGTGCGATTCCATTCAACCCCTCCCCGTTACTGTCCCTCCCTCGCGCACTCACCTGTCATCTTTACCTCTCCCACCTCTCATTGAACCCGACTCACGCTCTCTCCTCCCCTCCCCCTCTCCAGCCGTGAAGATCAAGAAGACCGGAGACGTGGTGAAGTTCAAGGTGCGGTGCTCCAAGTACCTCTACACGCTCTGCGTCACGGACAGCGACAAGGCGGACAAGCTCAAGCAGTCGCTGCCCCCTGGTATGTTGTACGCTCTGTTAGGGATGTGTTGTGATTGTGCGTGTCCCATTCCGGGTTATCATGCACACCTTTCCACCTGCTTTACCCCATGAGCGCGAGCACAACCCCCATCCTCACAGATTCCCATTTGCAGCTTCATGGTTCAAGCAGGGGTATTTCGAGTACAGGTCGCTCAGTGCTGGACGGTTAGGTTCGCATTTACAGTCCCGGACGTGCGGTCACAGGCAGCTTAGAACAATGCCGGAGTTTAGTGCAGAAATTATAGTGCAGCAAGCTCCTCTTAATGCAAAGGCTCGAGTTAGGGAGTTCTCTTAGTGAAGGAAGCTCAGATTAAGGTAGTATATGTCAGCCAAGCAAGGCTAGATCCTAAGGGCTGACTATTAAGTCGACTCAGTACTTAGTCCAGAAAGGTCCTCTTCATGCAAAGGCTCGGGTTATGGAGTTCTGTTAGTGCAGGAAGCTCGGATTCAGGTAGTCTACTTCAGCCAAGCAAGCCTAGATCCCGAGGGGGTTGTTTCAGCGCAGCAGGCTTAGATAACAGAAAGCGAGTTTAGGTAATTTCTCACTGCGCAAGGCTTTGGTGAAAGTTGCGTGTTTATTTTTGTACATTCAGGTACAGGAGGTAGCGTGTTAGAAGAACAGCGCAGCGAGTTACATTGACGGACGGTTACGAGCAGGAAAATTAGAGGCGCAGGAAGGAGGGTAAAGGTCGTAAGACGAGTGTGAGAATGAAAGTGGTGTAGCGCTGGATGTGAAAGGCTGATTGGATGCACACCACCAATTTCGATCAACTACCAGCTTCTGTCGGTAGCATAAGCTGATGGCCTCGCTTTGACCACTAATAGCCGTGAGTCTTTCTGTAGATTCGGGTTTTTGTGTCTGGATGAAGTGAGTTGAGATTCCTAGTTACTGGATGGTTTTTTGTGAGAGCCGGGCTAACTTATTGTGTAAGGAGGAGACCCGTGTCGACTGGATGTTAACACCCTGCAATGTGCTATACGACTCAGATTGTTGCACAATACAGGACGTCAAACCCCCCCTCAATCTCTTGTCATCCTCTTTCGCCCCGTATATCCTTACCTCCTTCCCAACCCTGCAGGTCTGCACGTTCAGGACATTTGAATCTGAGACATGAGATGCAGAGTGAGGCACGTAGTCACCACTGATGTAGCAGCGCTGGCTGGGACCACATTTCCTGGTCATAACAGAGTGGTCGTATGCGATTGAGCGTTTTGCTGCTGCTCTGCTGGCCTGCTTTGCTGTGGCAATGGTATTTTTATGCCCTGGCGTCTTGCCAGCTGTATTCGCATCTTTGGCTGTGCTCCCCAATTAGTCTCTGTACACCAGAATGTTCAAATCAAAGGAAGCATTTACAGCTGAATGTTACGGGTGCAATGAATCGAAGTAGCGAGAATTGCACTAAGGTGTCAAACGAGTACAAAATGTGTGTAGAGGCATGAGCGAACATTTATACATGAAACATGCAAACGGTAACGCGGTGCGTGCGAGCTAGCTAGTGCTACGCTGGCAGCGAGGCTCGGGCTAGTCCCGAAGCGTAGGCCGACACGGCCGTGTGAAGAAAGACAAGCAGAAAGGCTAGAACAAGAAAGAGGCGTTCATTAGTGTTGGAAACAATCGGTCCTAAGCGCCTCTGTCGTGTCAAAACACCAAGTCAAAAGCGAAGCGAAGTATATCGAAGCACCGGCGAGTCAACCCTCGGAGGTTGAGCGGTTGCTAGAGGTTACGCGAAAGTCAAAGGTTAGCGACCTTTGACCTGACAAGTACATCACAACAGCAAGGACACACAACTGACTCGCTACAGAGCAGTTGCCCGAGTCGTCACTGTATAGAACCGCAACAGCAACGGTGAAGTAGTTATAACCGTATCTCTTCGTGTTCCTTGTACTCTTATACAATCCTGTATCTCTTTGCTTTAATCAACTTACTTTGCCCTCACATACTAGCGCAAGGTGGTTCACAACTCTTTATTAACGCTTCCGCTACTACACCAACTCTACCCAGAGTTCACCCCTGCAAAGATCCTAAGGGCTTTTTCAGCTCAACAACTAGTAAGCAGGGCAGTACATATAGCAAACCCTAATTTGGGTTGTACTCACGATAGGGTACCCCACTGCAGACTAGACAATGATAACATTCTGACACACCCCCATAATCAAAGTGGGGTATAATCAGCACAGCAAGCAGTCATAGAGCAGGTTCACAAGGACAAGCAAAGCTAGAGGCAGTCGCAGAAGGCAAGTGAGGAGGAGTGACTGTGAGAGGAGAGGGGATGGGAGGCGACGGTGGAAGCTACAGACACACAGGAGCGGCTGACTCAGTGGCTACCGAAGAAATGGCCCGGACTACAGGAGTAACTGGCTCCGCGGAGATTGTAGCCTCTTGACTGGAGCAACTGACCCACTAGCGACTGGCGACTACCGGAGATTGTAGCCTCCGGACTACTGGCGCTGCTGGCGACACGACTGCTGCCTCCGATCGACTTCCCCCAACTGTCCCACACCCCTTTCACACACCCCCTGCTGAACCCCTAGCTCCACTCCCACCTCACCCCCCTTAAACCCTAAATCCCGGCTCCCACACACCCAACCCCCCTCAGCGGTAGCTGCAGCAGTGGGAGACGGAGGAGGAGGAGGAGCTGCAAGTTACCCACGCTGGTCACCCCCATGCCCGCCACCCCCAAACCCTAACGCAGGCAGGAGCGCGGGAAGCAGCAGGGGCGGTTCACGAAGGGAAAGGGAGGCGGCGGGGGGGTCTCCTGGGCGCCACGAAGGAGCAGGGCGCGGGCCCCCCGAGGGCGCCACGGCGGGTGACGGGAGGGGGGCCGCACACGGGCCCCCGAGGGCGGCTCGACGGGCGACGAGAGGGGCCGCACGCGGGCCCCCAAGGCGCCGCGACGAGGCGACGGGAGGGGGCGGCGCGCGGGCCCCCAAGGCGCCGCGACGAGGCGACGGGAGGGGGCGACGCGCGGGCCCCAAGGTGTCGCGACGAGGCGACGTGAGGGGAGGGACGCGTGGGCCCCCAAGGTGCCGCGACGAGGCGACGGGAGGGGCCGGCGCGCGGGCCCCCAGGGCAACGCGACGAGGCGACGGGAAGAGGGCGACGCGCGGGCCCCCAGGGCGCCGCGACGGGTGACGGGGGGCAGCGCGAAGGTCCCCAGGGGCGCCACGACGGGTAGAGAACCGCCGCGCGAAGCAGGAAACCGCCGCGCGCCTCGGGGCGCACGGCGGGCAGAAAACCGCCGCATGCCCCGAGCGCACGGCGGGATGAAAAACGCCACGCGCTCCGAGTGCGCGGTAGGAAGAAAGGGTCGCGCGCCTGGGGCGCGCGACAACAGTAGAGCAGCGGAAGCATCGGGTGGGGCCCACCCACAGGATCCAGCCAGGAGGGTCGACCTGCTCTGATACCATGTGAAGAAAGGCAAGCAGAAAGTTTAGAGGAAGAAAGAGGCGTTCACTAGTAAGCAGGGCAGTACATATAGCAAACCCTAATTTAGGTTGTACTCACTATAGAGTACCCCACTGCAAACTAAACAATGATAACATTCTGATAGGCCGGTCCAGTAGTGCGAGGTTTGGTGAAACAGAGCGCGCGAAGTCGGCGAAGCCCTGTTAGCAGTAACGGGCCAACAACGGCTGCTGCTGTACGCGATGTTGTTGGGCGCGCTAAGGAATGTCGAGAAAATTCCTTACACTACCCCCCATCCTCAAGAAGCCCCCTCCGTTACGCGAGTGTGTGTATATCGCGGAAACGCCGGCTCCTCAGGTAAACTTGTAGGGCAGGGTGGTTTTCGATGTTGGCCAGGGGCACCCAGCTATCTTCAGTTGGCGTGCGATCCTTCCAGCGAATGAGGAATTCAATCCTACTGATTCCCGTGGGGTGTCGAATCCGATGGCTCAGGATTTTTTCGGGCTCAACGATCGACTCCGATGCAGGGCGAGTCATGGATGGCGGGCGGTGACAAGGCAGTTGGCTTGTGGTTGGGATGTATGGGCGAAGCAGGCTGACGTGGAATGAAGGGCTGATGTACCAGTCCGTCGGCAACAGTAGGTGGGCTGTCACTGGGGTAATCATGTGGCTGATTTGGAATGATCCACAGTAGCGGGTTCGTAATTTCAGTACGACGGGCAGTCTTAAGTTATGTGTGTCGAGTAGTACGTAGTCTCCTGACTGGTACGTAACTGGGCGGCGGTGGCGGTCAGCATCGCGCTTAGCGAAGCCATTTGCTTTTTTAATTGCTTCAGTGGCTCTGGTGCGAGCAGCTTGGAGAATTTTGGTGAATTGCTGTGCACGTGGCGTTGGGTTGTCCGGACTCGGCGTCATGGGCACTGTAGGGTTTTGCCCGTAGTTCAGATAGAAAGGGGACAGCTGCGTTGTCGCTGACGTGGCGTTGTTGTACGCGAACTCGATCAGCGGCAACCGATGCTCCCAAGTGGTTGGGTCGTCGCACGCGGCACGAATCAACTGCTCCATCCTCTGATTCATCCGCTCCATTTGACCGTTGGTCTCGGGGTGGTACGACGAGCTGAACAGTAGCCTTGTTCCGAACTGCTCCCAGAGGTTCTTCCAGAAGTTGCTGGTGAACTTTGTATCGCGGTCGCTGACTATCGCGGCTGGTATCCCGTGCAGCCGAACGACGGCTGCGATGAACAGGCGAGCGGTTTCTTCGGCTTGTCAGAATGTTATCTTATGCTCTAGCCTGTAGTGGGGTGCTCTATAGCGAGTACAACCCTTCTAGGGTTTGCTATTTGTATCCCCATTCTTCCTAGTGCAATCCCCTTCTCTCTTCTTTCTTCTAAACTTTCACATGGTATCAGAGCAGGTCGATCCCCTTGGATCGATCCTGTGGGTGGGTTACCACCCCCTCGCTTCCGCTGCAACTTTTCCTTCCCGCCGTGCGCCCTGAGGCGCGCGGCGGTTTTCTGCCCGCCGTGCGCCCTGAGGCGCGCGGCGGTTCTCTGCCCGCTGTGCGCCCCGAGGCG